AAGGGTCAGCAGAGCGATAAAATACAAGAAAACAAAATATAATCAGAAACAAATAAAATAAAATAAAATAAATAATTAGACTAGTGGAACGGCCGCACCACCAGCCTGGGGGGGTAGCCTCCCACTACATGGAGGCAGGTCGACGGCCAAAGGAAGGGGCGGGGGTACGTGCCAGTTCAGTTTGGTTGGTTGTTCTTTTTCACTGTACGTCCGTAGACTCATTCTGACAGCACTTCAGACAGCAGCTTTGTGCCCCGCCAGCTGCTTGTTCCATGCCTACCATGGGTGTTTTTGTACAGACCGCACTTCAGACAGCAGTATGCTGTAGTCGGTAATCATTCGTTTTGGTACAGAGTGGGACAGGGAGGGGGTGATGATACTGTAGTCGAACGGTGGGACGGACGTGTAGTTCAGTTTTGGGCACGCATACGGTGCTGCAGGGATTATAGGTGTAGTACCTCTTCGGGCTCTTGTATACCTTTTTCTTGCTACGTGTGCGTGTTCTTTAGATCCTCAGATGGCTCTAGCACTTTCATGACCACGGGCCGAAAGTCCGTGCTAGATTTTGGCATTTAGCAACTGGCATACGGTTTAATGTGAAGACAACAACAACAACAACAACAACAACAACAACAACAACAACCCCCGCCCCTTCCTTTGGCCGTCTGCCTGCCTCCTTGTACCTGAAGGCTACCCCCCAGGCTGGTGGTGGTGCGGACGTTCCACTATATATCTATTTATTTGTTCTGGTTATTTTGTTTTCTTGTATATATTCTTTTGTGTTCTTTAGATGCTCAGATGGCTCTAGCACTTTCGTGACCACAAACTGAGAGTCCTTGCTAGATTTTGGCATTTAGCAACTGACATACGGTGTAATGTGAAGACAACAACAACAACAACAACATATATGTATGTATTGCGTGCACCAGCCCGGAAATCATGATTGTTTCTCTTGCAGTTTGTGTAGCCGAATTGAATTTGGCTCTGGTTTTCTGATACGATGGTTGGGAGTGATGGCACACATGTAAAATTTGGGTGAAACTCGCCTGCGCGCAGGCGAGAAGACCTGAAGAAAGTAGCGGGACGGAAAAAACAAAAATGAAGAGGCCATATCAGCCCCACCCAGCAAACACGTCAGGGGTCTGATGCACAGCCTCGCAGTCGGTCTGGTCTTGCACTCTGCTTCTGCTCCCGCTCTCGCTCCTCTGTGTCTGTCTGTGTCTGCTTGTCGGTCTCAGTCTGACTCTCTCTATCTCTCTGTCTCTCTCTGGCCTGTGATTCTTTTGACACCAAATGCATAGATTCGTTGAGAAGGCGGCGGGGAATAAAAAAAATCGTGACCGTGAAAAAAAAAAAAAACACCCGGGCCTTTATCTGTGGCATATTTAGATATTAAAAACGGAAAGATTACCCCGGTTGAGTAACAGGCATCCACTGACGTACGTGGTGGTAGCGCGTGGAACATGTGTACTGGCGAGGTTGGTCCAAATCCGTTGATGCCCTCGTGTTTTTGTTCCTCGAGAACAAACCGCGTTGGCAGAATTAATCTCGTGCTGTGCCACGGACGCTCTACTTGTCTTCCGAAAACCCCCCAAAAAATAATATAATTTTTTATTTTTAGTTTTTTTGCCTTCCGACAATTAATTGCAGATGTACCTCAGAAAACTTTCACTTATTGTCATATACTCTACATGAATATTAAACCAATACGAAGTACAACAACATACAAAAACGTCAAGTTGAAGAGGAGATATTTTTGCGATGTAAGTGACGAGTCACTTATTACATCGCAAAAATATCTCCTCTTCAACTTGAAAAAAAATCAATGACAATCATGGTATCCTATATGCGTTCGTAAGCTTGTTAAAATACTACTGCGTTGATGTCCTCTTGTAAAAGCTGAAATCCAACAAATGCTTTGATCCATGCTACATGTCCGTGTTGGAAAAGCCCTGTCTTCTCCGTTCATGATAACATCTTTATTCGTAAAAGCACCGTAGATAATGTTTTTCATCGCTCTGCTGACCCTTGGGGTCCATTTTATTTTGGTATACCTTTCCTAGGTACGTTCGCCTGTGACCACGGAAATTGACCGAGTCAAGTGCTGGATTAGTACGGAGAGATTGAGACAGAAGGAGGTACTGGATAGAGAGACCGGGATGGTGAAGACAACAACAACAACAACTCGACGGGTTCTGGACCGTACCGTTTACGATCACACGCTCAACAAGCCTCAACCGCGCGGGGTCGATTATGGGGCCGATCGAGCAGAGGGAGTTTTGGTCCGCTTGCGGGTAGCGATAGCCACCGCTGCTGTCGTAGCAGAGGTTACCTGACGAAGGCATCTATCTCCGATTGGTTTCCAAGGTCGCCTGGGGTGAGGTAACAAGTGGGACGCTTTCACTACGACATTTACTTGGATGCGTTACGCACTGGGTCGGATGAGTGTGGTTTTGTGACGAAGAGGAGAGATGCATAGAAAAGAGCAGCAGGTTTCGCGTCAGTCTTAAAGACTATTTATCACGCTTCAGCTCTCTCCCAACAAACAGATGCGTCTCTAGAGATAAAGGCCGCCCAACAATGGCCTCGCAGGCCGGCCGTTCCACGCGACGAGCTGCCCGGCGACACCCTGCGCATAAATGTCCTGCTGCGTGCATGTGGTCTGAGAGGCAAGCGGGCACATATGCATAGACTAGGCCTCATGTGCATTGTAGCACTCGCCCACAACCCCGTGGTTACACCCAAGGCTCGTTGCTTACCTTTCTTTGCAGAGTCGGAGTGAAGGTGCGCACTAGAGGAAGGAGAGTGTAGGGTAGGAGACGTGGATGTAATGAGTGTGCGCGGCGACAAAAGAGGGGGTTGGAAAACTTGGAAGGGGCGACGCCCCAGCGCCCATACACAGCAGTTTCGTAGAAATTTATTTGGGTCAGTCAACAAGACACTCAGCGCGAGTTTGTTCGGTTGATGCATCCACTCTTGTTGTTGAGCTTCCACAACTTCCTAAGCACCAAGGGAATTTGAGAGGGTGGCGGCTTTGTTTCCGTGTACCAGTGCAGCGCGTCCCGTGAACCCTCCGAATAAGAACGGCGAGGGTTGTATTCGATATACTCGTAGCATAGCATGTGGGTGGAATATTGCGTATACATATGCGGGTAAATTGCGGTGACGAACTTCGGAGGAACGAGAAGTTTCTATATGTTTTCCTTGGGAGTGTGGTAGATTGGTGCAGATCCATGAAGATTCGTTTTGGGTGTTTGAGCGTAATGCGTGACTTGATGCCGTGATGGAATGACGAGCTCAAGCACGCCCCCGATGAATATAACACATTTTTTTGTAACACGTTATACAACACGTTTTGCAACACGTCTACACGTCTTTACCAACCCCTACGGCCCGTCATGGCCGAGCTGCCCTACACTCCAATCACACACAACTGAGCCACCCGAATTATCGATCAGGTTTTCGTTTTTCGGTTCTTGATTTGTTGTTTTGTGGAGGACACCTGTCGGGGTATAACCAACCATGAGTGCACATACAAAGTGTAGGAAGATATAGCTCCATCCGGGTATCTTGTCACTGGGAGCGTGACAAGAAACGCACCGTCGGAGATTTGTCTCTTCCGAACTCCATGGCCACTTGCCGAAAGGAGAAGCGGCGAGTCTTCGACTCTCCTCTCCCTCTGCTCGCTCTGGCCACTCTTTCTTTCTACCCTCTCTTCTCCTCGTTAGACTATACTACTAGTATATCACGAGAGGAAATAGCCTTCCCCTGGCAGTGGGATATTACTGCCAAGGCACCGGCCTCTGTCTCCGACAGTAGCCAGGGTCCATAGTTTATATTATATATATTTTTGTTGTGGATCTTCATCTAATNGACTCTCCTCTCCCTCTGCTCGCTCTGGCCACTCTTTCTTTCTACCCTCTCTTCTCCTCGTTAGACTATACTACTAGTATATCACGAGAGGAAATAGCCTTCCCCTGGCAGTGGGATATTACTGCCAAGGCACCGGCCTCTGTCTCCGACAGTAGCCAGGGTCCATAGTTTATATTATATATATTTTTGTTGTGGATCTTCATCTAATCTCTCCCTTCTTGCCCTCGCTCCTCGACAAGCTTTTGCTTAGACATGGGTTGTAGTGAAGGGGGGGGTCTTTCTAGCGAGCAGGGCTAGACTCATCTTCAAGGGATGACCGAAACCNAGGGCTAGACTCACCCTCAAGGGATGACCGAAACCTTCTTGCTGCTGCGCATATCCGCCGCGAGGCGTGCGCGTGGTGTAGTTTGGTCGGCACTGATGGGGTCAAGCGAAAAAATGTAGATAGATGCGCGGGCTTCTGGCCGTCGGCGTAGGCAGCGATGAACATCTCATTTTTGTGCGCGGAGGCAGGCACCGTCAGAAGGTGGACGGGCACTATGTACACGGCCCTAGGTTGGCTAGAGGGAGCTGCATTGCCTCAGTAACCTGGCTTCGCCATCAAAGGAGGAGGGAGCAGGTGGCGACGAGCTGAACTGGGCTGGTTGACCCCTTCGGCGCGAGAATTTTTATTTTTCAGACCAAGAACCTTGAGTGCAACGAGGGAGAAAGCGAGGAACCGACTGGGAAGGACAGCAACGAGAGCGTGTACGGACGGAGCAGGTCGAGTGGCGTTATGCTCGGGCTGACCACAGTGGCGCCAGACGGAGCAGCGGCACCGGAGCATGCTATTCGATATACTCGTAGCATAAGCATGCNGCGGGCCTCTGGCCGTCGGCGTAGGCAGCGATGCCCATCTCATTTTTTGTGCGCGGAGGCAGACACCGTCAGAAGGTGGACGGGAACTATGTACACGGCCCTAGGTTGGCTAGAGGGCGCTGCATTGCCTCAGTAACCTGGCTTCGCCATCAAAGGAGGAGGGAGCAGGTGGCGACGAGCTAAACTGGGCTGGTTGACCCCTTCGGCGCGAGAATTTTTATTGTTCAGACGAAGAACCTTGAGTGCAA